AACTTGTCCAGCGAAATAATAATACTACAGCGTAATCGAAATAATACGCATCACAGTATCTCGTCCGTGAAGTTGCCCCCCCCCCCCCCCGCCCACTTTGTCCGATCCATCCCAAACCGGTGCCAATATTTAGCAACTAATTTGCAACTTTGGGCAACCTTCGTAAAAAAATTCGCAACTTCGCAGTTTCGTCAGAACCGATCTTTCAATTTTGGTTAGGTTCGATTTAATCCATATTAAATAACATAACGCGGAGTTTTTAATAATTAATTTAAATTTATTATTTAAAATATTGTGTGTGTGTGTGTGTGTGTAGTACAATTTAAATCACTATTTTTTGTAAACCACTAAATGTGGCTTTACTTTGATATTCTCCTGTTTTTACATCGTAATTTTTTTTTTTTTTTTTGTTCATTATGTATAACTATACAAAGATCAAAGCCATAGGCAACTAAACCGTAAAACACAAATCTGAAATAAAAACTGTTAAAAAAATATTATAAAATAATAATGAATAGTTAAATGTAAAATATTACAAATAAATAAAAAGAACATCGAATATAAAAAACAAAGCCTTGAATGTTTTACAATTTGGCGTTTAGTTCGCCTTTGTTATAATAGCGATGATGGACTTTTAAATCGAAACCTGGTCGTATTTACATTCAACCTATATTATACTGTAGACTTTGTTTTTTTCTTTTTATTGATCGGCATTATTGTAATGTATTGACGATAAAGTCAATCCGCATTTATTAGTTTATATAAAACAGTGGAGTAACCTTGATACGACATTGTCTATTTCATATAATTATACGAAAAACAGATATTCGCATTCTCATTATCGCACCGGCGCCTATTTTTCGCCAGTATTAAATTTAATTGCCGTACATAATAAGTAAATTTTTACGATATTATATACGGCGATAAAATTTAATACTGGCGAAAAGTAGGTGCCGGTGCAGTTTACTTGTAAATATTACTCGCCGTACGGTGAGCCCACGTGACGTTATCGTTATTGATTGATGTTTTTTTCTAAAACGCGCGTGTACGGCAGAAAGGGCTGTAGACGACCGGGCCGGCCGTGGTCCGTTTTTTGAGCTTTGCGCTCGTGCGCCCGCCGCCCCGCCATCACGCATCACAACGTGTAGGGTTTAATAGGAAAAAGAAAAACGGGTAGATGAGGACGTACGGGAAAAATGAGACCGCGGTCGGGCTGGGAAGAACTAAGCTTTGGACGGTGATAACCGGAGCCACGGACGGCCGCGGTCTCGACGGCCGAAGGCGCGCAGGTAAAAACAGTGACCGACGGCTACGCGACGCGCCGATTGTATTGCGTAAAATTCCGTCGCCGCCTGCGATCATCTCGAATTCGCGCGGACGCGGCACTACCTGCGTGCGAACGGAACGCCGTACAATTTATCGTGCCGTCGCGTCGTCGTCATCGTCGTCGGCCGACCACCGCACGATCGGTCTCGGCATTATCGGTTGTGCGCCGAACGTGGAAACGACGGAGATCCCGGTTCGCGTTCCCCGCGCTACACATAAATTATAGTACCTCCGGCTGTGCACTTCGCCGCCCCGACGAATTACCGCCGCGCGGGCCGCGGGCGGGAGCGGTCTGCGCCCCGGCCGTGATTTACGGTCCGAATTCCGTCCGTTTCGCCGTCTGTTTTCCGCCCGTGCAGTTTTACCTCCGGAGCTCGTACGCGGGCGGACCGACGATGCGACGAGACGCACTAATGAAAAACGAAAACGGAAAAAAAAATACCACAAGACGCCGCGGCTCGATGTACGGGCGACGTTTACAACGAGATACGTAGCTAATAAAATAAACGCGCGCCCCCGCGGTCAGACCGCGTTTGATTCGGAGCCGAGACCGCTGCGATAATAATGGCCGGTAGCCCCTCCACCGGATAATCGGTTTCCGGCCGACCACAGACGGGTTCGCGGTCCGTAATCTGCCGGCCCGATGCGTCCGACCGCGATTCACAAATCGGAATAGCGCGCGAACGTGCTGTTTTCGCTCACCGAACGCCCTGAAATATTTTGAACTTTTTTTTTTTTTTAATCATTGTTTCCGGTTACCCTTAATCGTTGTACGACGGATATTAATATGCCCAGTGTATCAACAAGACAAACGAACACACTTCGCACGGTGGATGGGCCCCTGTTGTTGGTGAGAAGTTGACAATACAGGATCTAGAAGGGAATTTAATATGTATCCGTACCCAACGGTTAATTTTTGTATTAATGTTATTTTTAATGTTGTAATATTATTACGATTTGTAAATAATACATTTCGTACATTTTCTCATTTTTCCTACGTTTTTTCCCGGTTTTCCCGCATTTATTGTGAAACCCCTGGGAGTTTTCGAAAAATTGTATCTCAGTATCTAACCTAACCGCCCCGATCGAATTTTCTTTCGGAAAAAGTGCTACACTTGAAAATCGGAGCGAAAATTCGGGTAGAAAAGTTGTCCACAGTGAAAAAAAAAAAAAAATTCATCATTGTTAAACACTGATACAACATGATAATGTTGCGCGCGATAAGAGGTACATTACGAATAAAATCCCGTCACTCGTTTTGTGAAATCGCTGGCGATTTCACGGGGAAACGGTTCAGGCGGACTTCAATGCGGACGAATTTCGCGGCTGCTGATACGTACGTAGGTACGAACGCTGTCGAGCAGGTGGTCGACGGGCGCGACCCGATATTTTTCGTTATCGTCTGCGCGACGCGTTCAAAAATAGTACTCGCCGTGCGTGCGGATGATTAACCGGCGCGACATAAATCCCCGAAACGTCGGCGTCGCCGTCGTCGTCGGGAGCGTGATTTTCCGCGTGCGCGGCCGCGGCTGCGGCGCGACGGTTGTTCGTTAGCGGCAACAATGTAATTGGTAACAATCGGCGGCCGCGGCCGGCCATAAATCCCGCGACGCGCACCCAGCCCCGTCGGAGGCCGCTAATCAGCGCGGCCCTTTCTTACGGCCGCGCGGTCGCCGACCGGATGATTTACCGGATCTAAATTCGTCTCCGCGGCTCCGGCGGTGTATTCGTTAGAGGCGCGGCGGCGAGGGCGGCGGAAAGTATAAGGAAAGCCGTCCGTTTTGTGCGGGCGCGCGCGCGTGTAACACGCACGGTATTGTATAATTAGCCGTCGCGAGGACGCGGGTGATTTACCGGCCGCGAGTGGCGGACTTTTCGCCGCGCGCACCGGAACGAACCGGTCGTGCGCCGCGCAATTTGTCTCTGCCGACCACCCGGCGCGACCGCGGCGTTGAGCTTCGGGCGTGCCGAAAGCGACGTCCAGACGTTGGTTACGGAGTGACTTTTAATCTAGATATTAGATAGGTACCGCGAGTAAAAAAAAAAAAAAAAACCTATAATATACGAGTTCGAACGTTTCGGAAAGTGCACACGGGATTAGTGCGGTAGGCGTTGGATACGGCACACGGTGGCAATAGGCGATTGCGCGTAAGTCTCTACCTGTGCCTATAAGCCCTATAATATTATAACGCGGTAAGAAAGTGGCCGACCGCATAATACGTTATTCCGATCGGTTGACGACCGGTCAATTATATTCATCGTGGACGCCGTTTTGGTGTGCCAGATGCCCGCTATAAAATTGCTTGAATATCAATAATAATAATAATAGTCGAAACAATAGTACTCATTTATAAATAAAAATAGATAAATAATTAATGGACAAGTAAATTATTGATTGTAACACGGGCAAACATATGGATACGACTATAATATTCCGCGTCAAAGTTAGAGATCTAACTGAACGAATAGCGTTGGAATTTCAGAACTGCAGGTACTATAAATTTGGGGCGTAACGAAGACATTTTTTTTTTTTTTTTTTTTATATAAAACAACCCAGTCTATATATTTGTCCGACGTACTTGATGAACTAAAACAAATACATCCTTGATTTTGTTGTTATAATATTATCTGGTATTCGATATTTTTCTATTTGATGTCGATTTGACGGGTTGTATTAATTACCTACGTAATAAAAAGCTAATTTAATACTTTTTGATAAAAAAAAAAAAAAAAACCAAACAAATAATGTAATAATAAATTCTTCTAAAATATTTATACGCTTTAAATCCAAGTTTGTAGTGGTTGTTTCTGATAAGCTTAAAATCCGTGTTACATTGTTTAGTACATTAATAAAAAAATATATTAAGTAATAAAACTGTAATAATGTTAGATTAAATGTGTTGTCTGATATGGTCGATTAATATCGTGGACAATTATATTTTATTAGATGACATTCGTTTTTATGCGAATTTTGAATGTTATGATGTATACAATACATTATCTTTATGTACACATATTTTCATTAAAATACTATAGATAAGTCGTACAATGCAACGATAAGAATGCATTAAATTAAATTACGCCTCGTATTCGGATATCATTATTAGCATCGGATTATCAGGGGTTCATTAATATTTACAACAATTACCTGCACGGCAGCACTGTATCATTATTACCATCATTCCCTCAATATAGTTAACCGTAAAACGAGTATGTAGAGAACATGTATACTTAGGTATTAAACGAAACCCAAGTCGTCATAATAAAAAATAATATTTATAAGGTTGTTATCCGCATAGTACCTACCAAAAATATAAAGACGTTTTACGATAATCGGGACGGGTGCAGCCACTGTTATAGGTAATTTAATGTATACCTGTAAGCAACGATAAACCAATTGCTTACGAAAAAACGAACCTGAGTGGAGTTCGGTTGATAGTGCTTTTTTGTCAACTATATGTTAAATTATGTTGAAATTCCAATTATTCCAATTCCAAAATTAATATCCCGTTTTCCGTTTTTTTCGGTTTTTCACATTTGTTGAGAAAACTCCGGAGTAAATAGAAAAATGACTTTTTTAAAGTACCTTTCCAGTGAAATTTCCTTTCATTAAAGGTGCTAGAATTAAAAATCAAAGCAAGTGTTTTGGTAGAAAAGTTGTCCACAGAAAAAAAAAATATACATCTTTGTAAAATCATAAGTTTCTTCGCTCCACTCAAAATCCAAAAACTAAAAATTATCACAAAACTTTTATTACATTTATTTTAAACTGCTTATTATTAAAACACTTGACTGTGTTTTATTCAGTTAATACGAAACTAAAGTTAAATTTATTCGCTATTTCAAATATATAACATCGTTTTAAATCAGTATTAATACAATTTTGTGTCGATAATACTCTTTAAGATACTCCATTGTTGTGCTGTCGGACATTTTATAGAGCTAAAAAGTGGCTACACGCGTTCAAACGACCCTCAATGATAGTACTGTTGGGAAAATATTTTGTGTTGTTGTTATGAAAAAAAAAAGGAGCGAAAAGCTGAATATATTATTATTGAAAACGGTCGGACGACAGAGTTTTCCCTCGTAAATATCCCTCTTTAAAGTTATTCGGGAAACAGTTTTTTTTTTTCTCTTAACTTGCACTATGAGTGTATACTATACATATATATATATACATGCACTTTTTTTCATCGAATAATAATTCGGTCCAACCTTTGCACGAGGGGGAGAGGAGAGGGGTGGCGAGGGATATAACCATGGATTTATTGTCGGGCGATAATTCACTTGTACATAACTGCACCGCGAGGATGCAAAACGTTCGGAAATGCACGCGCAGGGTCACTTTACCGCCGGACTCGGAGAGATGAATTATTATACAGACGTGTGTTGTAGTTGTAGTAGTTGTTGTGTTGAACACCCGGCGGACCCTTGGGCGCATTAAATCGCTACAAATATTATAAGTAAAGTCCTACTGTCCGAGGCCCAGTAAATCATGCCGAGCTAAATACGTTGTAGATATGGAAATAATGGCCCAGGTCCTGTGCGTCTTGATTTACGACTGTGCGGCGGTCATGTTACCATTACATTCTTTATTGTTGTATAAAAAAAAAAAAACCGAAAATATCGTGGTTATTTTTGAAACCCTCTTCCAAAAATAGTTCGTATATTACGATCTTGCTGCGTGTAGAGCGAAAAACTTTTTTCGGATATTCGTATAATTTAGCAAGTCATCGGTGGCCAATTCAGGGGGGGAGGGAGGGTAATAAATCCTTTCTACTCGAAATTTGTTCTATCGTCTTTTAAAATGAATATACATTTTGTAAATTATTTTATAGGCTCCTTTGCCTCGATAAATATTCTGTATACGCCAATGCATATTATAATATTTGGTACAGTGCAATTTACGACGATACAACATTATAGGAAACAATTATTGTTACTCTACCTCTACATTGTTCTGGAAACGAAATCGAATAGTATTTTAAATTCCGAGTGCAGTGTAAATATTGTTCTAAATTACCAAAAATGTTTTCAAAAAAAATTAAACCAACACCAATGTTCAACTAAATCTATAGAATACCATAAATTTGAAATTTTGAATTTAAGGACAATCTAACATAAGTGGACAGACGGGGTCCGGCAGCACCTCGTGAAGCATATATTTTAGACTTCTTTTTTCTGGATTCCCCGGATACACAGGGAATACACGTCTTACGTTTCGAAACTAGTTAACCGAGTTCTACTAAGGATTGTTTTTGCGTTATTTTTATTGTTCCCGTTTAAAATACAGATACCTTATGGTGTAAAGTACGATCGAATTAAAAAAAAAAAAATAAAAAAAAAAACCATGCAAACATTTCAGTTGTATAAAGATACATAAATTTAAAAATTAATAATAATTTCGTTATTTGCTGCCAGTGATGTGTGCTCATCAAAAATAATATTACGAATAATTTAAACGTTATAATATTATTATTAAATTAAGATGCGCATTGCGTCGTCGTGAAATATTATTATATTAACATAATATCGCAATTGTCAAAATCCTATATTATAAATTAATTCATCCGTGTATTTTACTATTTAATTTAAATACGAAAATACAAAATAAATTCTAATAGTATAACACGATGTGAAATGTTCCTGGATACGCGTTATTTATTATTCTCGACTTAAAAAACATTAATATTGGATCCGACGACATATTTTGTTTATACAAAAATGTAAATATCCAGTTCTAGGGAAAAAAAATAAAATATGTATACATATATACATATATAGAATACAAATTAATGCAGGAATGTCAACCAATTTTTTTTTTTTTTTTTCATATAATATCGAATGTGTAAATATCTTCAAACAAACCTATAAATAAGAATCGTCGTTATAAAGTAGCTACTGTTTTTTTTTTTTTTTTTTATATTATTATTATTGTTATAAAACGTCCAACGCGACGCGACGCGATTTATTAAATTGTTTAATGTACTTACCTATATAGGTATCCGGAGAATATTGTTCTGTTTAAATTCGACTAGACTATGTTTAGGTAAATAGAAAAATATACGTTCTTCTGATATTTATCGATAAAAGTAAGACAAATATATTTGCGTTTTCGAATAATCGAATTACATTTGTGTTGTCTATTAGTTAACGTTTTGAAATTTTATACGGTTCATTCCCACGTCACTGATTCTCATTTTGCCGACAACATTTTATTTAGTTAATACTCACCTGTGACATACGTAGCTTGAAGTACACCTACTCACGACTCCGTCCCACTATAACAACTCGTTTCCGTTGTCGTTTTTGCCGGGATTACACTAGTTTTCTTAAATTGTCATTGTTCTAAACTTGAATTATGAAAATAATTAGAAAAATTATTTTGAACATCTATCTAATCGTTGATTACCTATTGTTGTATTTTCGATAATACTAAATTAATATATTTACTTACCCTACGCAATTGTGACGATATAATTTCTCCAGTAATAATAATTTCATTGCATCAATAATATTGCAATTCAAAATAGTAATAATATAACCGATGTATGTGTCGACAAAATGTGATGTCGGTGACGCGCGACGTGGGAAGACATGTTTTACACGACACACAAAAATATTAAATCTTAAATTTTTTGAAAATTTGTTTACGTCTAGTAAAGGAAAATATAAGTTGTCTGTCCAAAATTCAAGTCTCTAAGAATATTTTTAATTGAATTACAATAAATAACAAAATTAATAAAATTATAAAAGCATTAATTTCGTACATTTCCCATTTTTCTTACGTTTTATCCAGGTTTTTCCCATATATTATGAAAACCACTAGGAAAATCAAAAAATGACCTCCCAAAAGTACCATCTGGATAATATTCTCTTTCAGAAATGGGGCCACGTGTATATTTCTGAGCAAGATTTATTGTCAAATTTATGTACACAGGATAAAAAAAAATAATAAATATCTTAGTAAATCCAATACATTCGCTACACTCAAAATCTAAAATTATGTATAAAACATTAAATATTGTACTTTACGATTTCTTGAATATTCAGATACTCCCCAAAAATAATATCCACATCCAAATTTGTTTTACTTATTTTATTATTCTGAATACATATCTATAAAAGCAAAAAAAATAATTGATAAATATAATATTTATTTGATTTTATGATGTAAACACATTTTAACTTTTTTTTTTGCAAAAAAAATATAAATGCAAGTAAAAATTATTCCAACATTAAATCTCTAATAATATTAATGTATAGCAATAAAGAAAAATATACTCCTTTAATAGAAATCACAAAGGTAAAGTTATCTGAGTAAATATTTAGGTAAAACATGATAATATTTTGTGAACTTGTCAAATATTTTCTTAACCACTTCTACTGCAGGTTGTATTTCTTCGGTCAATTTAATAAATTCGTTAACTTTAGTGTATGCTAATTTTTTTCCGGTCATGACATCATGTATACAATATTTTGGTGAAATATTATTTTCTGTGAACGATTTTCGTTGAGAACTAAATGTTCGATTAGAGGATTTATTTTCAAAAAATGGTGTTACCAATTTATTTTCATTCAGATTTATTTCAACACCGAATAATTTAAAATTATCTTCTATTATTTTATAGCCTTGACCAATAAACATACCACGATATAAGATATCGAAATGCATATTAAGGCAATATTCATGATAATAATCTATAGTTTTTTTAAAATGTTCTGGAAAAAAATTGTCATTTATTATATTCTTGTTTATGATTTTTGACATTGAAGTTTTAAAATTGAATTGAGCGCTACTATCTACTGCTTTTGTTTCTTTATAAATACTTTCTAGAGTATTAAAAAGTGTTTTTGTCTCATAATAAATAACTGCAAGAAAAAATTTGAAATATATATCATAAAACGCATAAATATATGACGATCCCAAAATAATGTTATTTAAATTCGCAAAAATTTGACTTATTGATTTACATTCTCCATTCCAATAAAACTGTATAACGTTATCATACGCTTTAATATTAGGATATGTATTTTCATATGCGTTAAACAATGCATCTAAATTCGGTAATGTAGTATTTACAATAGCGGAAATATCAATTTTTTTAAGAAAGTCATCAGTATTAATCGGATTTATAGGTTCATCATCAATTAATAAAGGATTATAATCAGAAGAAGTACTCGTACAATATTCAAGCATGTACGAATTTAATTGAGTTATAATCACACACAATAATCGTTCTAGATCAGTACATAAAACTTTGCGATTAAGATTACCTTTCGTAAACAACTCTACAGAAATCAAATTATAAGTTATTTCCAATAAAGACATATCATCGTTCTTAGTGATTATAAAACTAATATAATATATGGCATGATAAAGATTTCTTCCAACTTCTTTACAGTGATCTGTGTTTATGTCTGAAGATAAACTGTTAGTACTGAGAGCTTGGAAATGTTCATAGCTGAATTGATACATATTTTTAAGGTAATTACAATTGTCTTGGTTTCCACGAATGTTACCATTCAACGGTTCAATTATCCACGGTGATAGACTAGGTGCATCCAATGTCACAACCGATTTCTCTACAAATTTGTACTTTGTGCAAAGGTTAATATGCATAAAAGAATTTATTTTCTTTATTTTATTCATAAGGGGTGAGTAGTATCTGGTATATTCCGTGTTTAATGATTCAAACAAACGAACAAAGCATTTGTATTTAGTAATATGTTCTGCCATTGCAAACATAAATTCATCGATTGTTGTTGATTCTATACGATCCGCTCTTACTTCAACAAATGGTAACTGTGATTTTTTTAAATGATTGTCTTTTTGAATCGATTCTAAATACAATTCAATTCCATTTTTAATTTTTTCCATTCGAGAACTTTTAAATTCTGTTTCATCATTTAGATTATAAAAGCCATTCACCAATTCGGGTACAAGGCCAGTGTAAAAAGAAAAGAGAAAATTGAATTCTTCAAAAATATTTATAACTTCTACTGACAATTCTTTAATTCCAATTTCTAAACCGAAATGAATATTAATTTTTAAAAATATTATTTGCATGATTGCATTGTATACCGCTTTCATATACCAGTATATAACCTCAAGATCATGTGATTGTTCAATTTCTACAAAGAATTGTTTGGCCGAGACCTCTCCACATTCGAAATGAAATAGTACAGCAGAAATCTCATCCGATGAAATATCATTTTGATTCATTATAATATCACCTAATAACATTGTATATAAATCACAATTCATAGTTGGTTCATCAAAATCAATTCCGGTTAATGAATCCAGAAAAATTTGAATGGTGTCATCATTCAAGTCTAATTCGTATTTAGGAAATCCGTAAAAATGTTTACTGTCATAAATAATAATTGGTAGTTGACAATTGTACGCCAAAATCCTTTGAATATCATTTATTTGTATGAGAACTTCTTTAGATATAAAATTATCGACTAAATAATTTTCATTATTAAATATTAAAATATTAATATAATTAAATTTGAAACATAACGCCAGTAATGATTTTAATAAATCTATATTTATCAATACACTGTACGTTAAAATGTTCATAAAATTGAATAATATGTTTATAAATTGCTTAGTGTGTTCCATTATTTTATTTAAACTGTCCACTGTGCTACTAATTTGTAAAAAATTCTCGCGTACTGAATATTTTGATTGACTTAAATGTAATAAATTTGTGACTAGAAAATGTTGAAGTTTATTATGAACCCATACAGCGAACGTGCAGTTTATACAGATAAATAATTTAGCTACAAAATTACGATATATTAACTTAGTTTCGTTTTCTTTTAGCTTGTTTCCTTCGACGTCATAAAAATATATAATACACGATACATTGTTTAATTCGACTTTACTACTATTATCGGTTTCACACGTACTTACTTTACATAGTTCGTGTAAAGAATTTTGTAAAGTAAAAATTTTATTTAAATTTATTTCGATTTTTGAAGCAACGGTAAATTGTAACATCATTTGGATTAATATTAATGGTATAACAATCATACTAATCCACTTCGTTAAAAATTTAAATGAATAAAAAGTACGTGTTTTTACAAAACCTGTAACAAAAATATGGAACAAAATTTCTCACTTTTATTTTACTTGTGTAATAAAATTCCACTCAGTTTACTAAATTCACTTGTTTTAATCTATTAACATTAATGTTTAATCGATGAGTAAATAATAAATATGTTTAGACAGCCTTTATTTTGCTAGGCATATTTAACGAATACTGAAAAAAAATAATAAATACTGTGTATTTTAACCTGACGTGTACATGGTGATATTGCACGTGCAGAAACTGAATTTTATACTTCATAAGAAAATAATATTTTATTAGTGAATGATGAATATATATTTCATAAATACTAAATGTACCAAAAATTGTATTGGTTTTACTGTGAAGACGATTTTTATCTTTGTGCTTATGTACAACTCTTCAAACAATTAACGGTGATCATAGGTGTTTTGTCTATTTTTAGAAAATTCGTTGTGTTTCATTTTGTTATTCCTATTTTATATACGTAACAGATTTTTCATGTTTATAGATATAGTTTATTATACATTGTTTACCCTCTTTCTCGAATGTTAAATTAATACGAACGCGTGTTTTTAATATTTTACTCGGTTGATCAAATCTCGTCGTCGGCAATAGATTCATTAATTCTTCGACCTCCGTTTACGATTGGGAATAATTATTTATAATTTTTTAAACGTGTAAGCGTGCAATTGGTTTTATAACTGATTACTTTGCCAACAAACTACCAAGATTAACAAATGATTAAGAAATCATTTTTTCAATTTTCCAAGGGGTTTTTCAAATAGTTGGGAAAACCAACAAATTAAAATTGTTTAACATTTACAGCAACGCAGTGTCCCGGTGTCCCCACGATTATTAATCGGTTGAAATTTTACTTCCGTCGATAAATTTTGCTAGAGAATATTTACCTCCCTGTAAAATATTTTTTTTTTTAGGGGGGGGAGATAAAATACCACTAGCAAATATTTACCCACCGGTAAAATTTTACTGGAGATAATTTACTAAAGATAAAATTTCACATTATTTTTTTTTTAAATAATTTTCATTATCTGTCTCGTTGAAAATATATTACTATAATATGGATAGGGTTTTACTTCGTTTACAATATTATTAATTAGTAAATAATTATAGTAAATTATTTACTACAGATGGAAGCATAATTTCATTCTGCCTAGTTTTACTGATATATGGAATGAAAAAACTTTTCTGAGCAGGGTTTAGTTGATAGAATTGCTTTGTCAAAAAATTATATACCATTATTATTGTAGTAAAATAATTACATAGACATTATTAATTTTTTTTAATAATATTTGTTTAACATTGTACATATTTTCTCGATTTTCATAATTTTTTCCGTTTTCCCGCGTTTTATCCTAATTTTCCACATTCATTAAAAAAATGTCTTGAAAAATCAAAAAACGAACTGCTTAAAGTACCTCACCAGTCAAATTTTCTTTTATAAAAAATGGCTATCATTATAAATCGGAGAAAAATTGCTGGTTTAAAATTTGTTCATAGATAAAAAAAATAAATATCATTGTAAAACCATAAGGTTCTCCAGTCCACTCAAAATCTCTTATAATACATACGAATACCTACAATTTATTTGCGTCTATACACTTAAATATTATATTACCAACCCAAAAACTCAAAATTGTATTATTGTCATGTGTTTATCGCAGTGGACACGTATACGCAAAACCAATAAGTCATGAATAATGTGACTATTAACAAACAAACTTATAATAATATAATTATATAGTTCTTTACATTATTTATTTAATTTAACTAATTTTTCTTTATATTGAGTATACGGCCTATAAGTTTCGTCTGGGTGTCAAAAGTTCTAAAAATAATTGTAGTAAGATTTAATTTAGAGAAATAAATAAATAAATTTAACAGTTATTAAAAAAAAAATCGTGCAATTTTGTACCTCGGTAAACCATCTGTAGTGAAATTTACCGAGGGGAGAAAAATTCACAGGGGTCATAATCCCAGTTTCAATCAAACTTCGCTCCGAAACGTTTTTCATTATTAATAGATTATCGTAGGTTACAGATAAAAATTAAATAACTATGTACCTCACCTTCCCCGTTACCCACCTGCAACAGTGGCCACCCCCGTTCCCAGTGTTAACTCTTGTTTTTATGCATAATTCGGTTAAAATAATCGTAGAGATCTGAAATGTTTTCAGAATACTTATATTAGACTTTTCTAGGCATTGTAACATTTTTAAAAACATTTTTGCAACAAAAGAAAAAAATTGTTTTTAGATTTATTAATAAAGATCGCTTTTTCCAAACTTTAAATAACAGTTTAATACTGCAACATTTTTTTATAATTAGGTATACATTACAAAACAAATTTTGAATTCATTAAAAACAATCAATTTTTTCAGACTTTGTTTCAAACGTCTAATTATCCTTTTAAGTATGATAAACTATGAGAAAAAAAGAAAAATTTCTTAGATAAAACTGATTGATAACAACTACATAAAGTTGCGACATTATTAATAAATACACTACATACATACATATCTTAAAACATGAATAAACACCGAGTGAACAACTATACAATTACTTTTTCTTCTGTAATAACAAAAAAAAGGTAATTTTTGAATAGGTACTATTCCCTCATAGCAGTTAAGTACTAAGTGGCGTAGTAATACACGTTACGATTCAACTGTCGTCTCGGTAGCATAATATTTAGCAAAGATATGAACAGTGGCTCATGTTCCCTCTCTTTTGAAATGTCCCGAACTTCCACTATTATTGCATATAAGCTTAACAAAAATACTCATTTTGGTTGTACATAATATATTTATGTATTTCTGGTTATAGTCGTAGTTTACAATAGTTTAATAACTAACATTATCAAATACAACATGACGATGAATATTTATTTTGATTCCAAAACTTATCATTCATTTTATCTAAATTTATACAATTCAAATTAGGGTTTTTCAACTTATGCGAAAATTATTAAGATATTGATTTAATATTTAAACTTAACAACTATATTATTATAGTTATTATATAATTTATATAATGAGTATATAATTAACCAATGGTTTGTGTACAGTATAGGTACTCGTTTATATTATAATATAGACATGTTTCTTAATAAATTTCGACTAATACGATTTTCAAAAATGCCACCACGACAGACTGTCGTGAAAAAAAACGACAATAAAAATAATATTACATATATTAAAAAATACTCACACCGTTAAAAATATTTCGAAGGCAAAAAATGCCTGTAAACCTGAACAAATAAAAATACAATTTTTGATGAATATAGGATGAATATAGTGAATACTATGAATATAGTTCACACATCCGGTAATAACATGGTGAAGAATTTGAAAAATCATAATTTGACAAATATTTAAAAAAATAATAATGTTAATAATAATAATCCTCAAATTTTAGGAAAAAGTATTGGTAACTCAAAATGTTTTCAAATTAAAATTATATTAGAAAAAAAATCGCTCACGAAAAAATCGAATCATGTTTACGAATTGAAAAAGCCTTTTATGAAAAAAAAAATCATGTTAGTTAGCTTCTTCACTACATTCAAAATCCAATAAATTTAACTTTTTTAAAGTGAAAATTCTTTGCAGTGATTAATCGAAAAAAATTATCGTTATGATATGCTTTTGCATGACACAGGTAAAACAATATAAATAAAATAAACCCTATTTTTATATATATTTGACTTGATTCTATTTGTTTTTATTAGTTTTCCAAAGTCTAAAAATTCACTGACTCCACACACCATCAAAAGTGGTTTTAATTAACCCCTTACTTATACCCCTTTACGTAACCCCCGTTTCGTCGCAACTCTGAATATTATTTTAATGCAAATTCAATTTTCAAATTATTTTTAAAACAGACTATTTTTATAGATACGTAGATGACAAATATCCTACATAATATGTTTTGAATATACATTTTTAACGAATATATGAAATCATAATTTTGATGCAGTCCCGATCTTATCTTCTAGATCTTCACTCATAATGAGTGAAAAGTTTAAAATAAATTGATTTGCTTTCAGATTAATATTGTTAAGAATGTTTTATATGATTTAATGCAAGAAGAATTTAATAAACATATAATATCTGTATTAATAAGTAGATTATCGATATTGCACTAGCTATGTATGCGTGGAAATAACAAATCGCCTTCTTTTTCAAAAAAAAACTATTATTACATTCATAGAATATCATTATAAAAATTATTAAATAGATTAAATTCATCCGTAACCATCTTCACGGAATTAATTACTGTATCTAAAAATTGTAAATAAGTTTCAATATGTTTTTTAGCAATATCTATTGGCTTTAACTTTGAATTCTCTTTATTTTTTTTCTGTTTTCTTGTAGGCGTGTTTGGTTTTCCTGGAAAAGATGATACGATATTATTATCACTTGTTGTCGATTCGACAGAATTTTGCCGGGACAATGAAGATTGCAATTCTAATTTCTCATTATCCAGATATATTTCAACGCCAAATATTTTAAATAGGTCTTCAATATTTTCATCATCTCCATAACCACTAAACAAACCCATACAGATATGTTTGTACAAGGCATTGCAATGTACATTAAAATAAGCGATTAATGTGTTAAAATGTTCTGGAAAAGTACTTTCAGAAATCAAACCATTTTCAAATCTCGCTATTGAATTTCCAAGATAGAATTCATAGTTTCGTGATGAGTTTCTATAAATCGTATCTAGAGCCTTTACAAGAGTCACTGTTTCATAATATATTGCTGCAATGGAAAATTTGAAAAAAATATCATAAAACGCATAAATATAAGACGGGCTTAAAATAGCGTTATTTAAATTATTAAGAATCTGATCAATTGACTTACATTCTCCGTTCCAGTAAAACTTTATAATGTTTGTATACAAACCGGTATAACTAATAATAATACTATATTGGTTTAACAAAACTTTTAAATTTAAATTGGAAAAATTATTAATTACGGATTCCTTATTTGCAATAAATTTAATAAATGCGTTTTCATTCAAACCAATTACATTTTCGGTGTTATATAGTAAAAATTTATAATTAGAAAAAATACAAAATGTTTGCCTATATGAATTTAATTCAATAATAACCACATACAATAACCGTTTTAGGTCAGAACAGGACCCCTCGCGATTAAACTCACGCTTTGTGAACAACTCTACAGAAACCAAATTATAGGTTATTCCCTTTAAAGATCCATCTTGGTTCTCGAAGGTTAAAAAACCAAGATATTGTACAGCACGATAGAGTATTTCTCCAACTTTTCTACAGTGATCGCTGTCCGTGTCTTCAGGATTATTATTACTAATAATATTGAATTTACTAACACTGTATTGATACATATTTGTGCAAAAATTGCACTTGTCTTGGTTTCTACTTATTTCTTCATTAGTTTCATCCACCCACGGTGACAAACTAGGTGCATCCAATGTCACAGCCGAATTCTCTTCATTGTTATTATCTGTAAATAGATTATTTCGAATAAAAGAATGTATTGTTTGTTTCATTATCATATGAGATGAGTGGTCTTTTTTATATTTTATGTTTAAAAACTCAAGCACACTAACAAAGCATTTATAGTGTGCGATTTGATTTCTCATTGCAAGCATAAAATCATTTAATGTTATTGATTGTGTATCAGTGACTATTATATTAACATATGGCAACTGTGAGGCTTTTTTATAATTGTCTTTTTCGATTGATTTTAAATAAAAATCAATACCTTTTTTAACTACTGAAATTTTATCGTATTCAAATTTAGTTCCATCGCATAGTTTATAAAAACTGTAAATCAACTGGTATACGAGACCCGTATGAGGGGAGAAAAAGAAATCTAATTTTTGAAAATGCAAAATAACGTTGTCCAAACTTGACCTGTCTGTATTTATAATTCTTTTAAGTTTATAACATATTAATTTCATGATTGTATTGTATACCACTTGCATATACCAGTATATAACATCAAGATTATGTAATTGCTGCATTTGCTCGAAAAATAATTTTATACCAGCCTTTCCACCGGATTCAAATTTAAACAGTTGATTGGATAACTCAAATGATACCATATCTTCTTGGTTTATTATAATCTCTTCTAATAACATATGGTTTACATTATAGCACACAATCGGTTCATTAAAATCAATTTGATTTATTGTATTCAGAATAACTCCGATTAGATCATCATTCACGTCTAATTTATATATAGGGAACCCATATAAATGTTTAGTATTATAACTATTTGGAAGTTGACAATTGTAGGCCAAGACTCTTTGAATATCATTTACACCTTCAAATATTCCAGGGATTATTTCATAATCTATAATTCTTTCAGATTTTTCAAATAAAATATTCATTGCATTAATTTTGAAGTACAGCGTTAGTACTGAGTTTAAAATGTCTGTGTCCATTAATAAATTATATGTCAATATGCTCATCAAATTAATTAATATGTTTATATATAGTTTAATCGGTTCCATTATTTTGTTTAAAATTTGTATAAATTCTTTATACGTTTCATTTGAATATATTGGTGGGTTTAAACTCAATAAATTATTAATTATTCCTAAAAGTTTATTATGAAGCCATTGGGCAAATGTACAATTCATACAAATATAAAATTTGGATATCGATTTACAAAATAGTGGCTCAGTTATATTACCTTCATCTTGGTCTATTATTTGTGTATCATAATAATATATCTCACAAGTATAATTTGACCCGTTGGTTATCTGAACTGTACTAATATTATCATCTTTTCGTATACTTACTGATAGCTCTCCAATGCTATTCTGTAACTTATCGATTCGATTTAAATTTATTTCGAATTTTAAAGGAAATGTAACTTGAACCATTTTTAAAAACAGAAATTTGATAAAAAGTATCGTATATTTCTTCATTGGAAAATAAATGTTTGATTTAAAAGTACGTATTTTTCACAACACCTTTTATACTTATGATATAAAATTCAATTCTCTTCATTAATTTTATTGACTTTAATACATATTCATTAACTAAATAAAAAATGATTATATTTACAGAGCTGGTTTATTTTATTTTGCCAGAAACGATAAATAAAATAGGAATTGCTGCCTGTTTAAAATCATCATATTATTGTATAATAAACATTTTGTACATTTACAGCTAAATATCATACATCAAAAACGATTTTTAAAATTTAAATTATTATTATTATTATTATGATTATTATAATAACTATTACCAGTATTAATAAATGTTTGATGCTTGTCAGGTAAGTATTAAAATGTTTAGCCAGCTATAAATCATTTTAAATAGAACGCTATGCATAAAAGGAAATTATTGATTTAAACACTCCCAAATGATTGTTCGGAAAGTATGATATTTGATTTTGGTTTCCGTCTATAGTTAATAAGTTAATAAGTTCCGTGATACTAATTAAATGAATCACCATGAATATTAACATACAAGTGTAGTTTATCACGCCGCCATTAATAATCATATTAAATTCTCTTAAGCATTTTATTATATTTCACTATTTTATGCAAGCGTCATCGTTGGCAGTATATATAACAATAATATTAAAACTTTTTTGTACATTTAAAAATCAACTCAAAAACCTACAATATTGCATTAGTACCCCGATTACCAGATGATTTTAAACAAAATGTGTATGGTTCGTAAATATTGTGTTTAAATTATCTGGCATATGTAGTAACAACTCTGCAAATAAGTTTTTTGTATCGTATTGAGTAAAAAATAAAACGTGTACTTTATGATACGCATTTGATGTAATAATAATACTGTAAGAGTAATATAAGTAAAATCTAAATCACCTATTTCGTAATTAATAAATAGGTTCAATTACTATAATGGGTCGTGTTGTAAACGTTCTGATTATATTTTTATGTTTTACAATAATACAATTTGAGATTTCCTATACAAAATTATTCGTAAATACTAGAGACGACATTGGTGCATTACAAGAAGCAGCTCATGAAATGACAAGCCGTAGAAAAGTAAGTCCCAATTTCAGCGTTGTTAGATTACAAAGTGCATCGTGTTTGATATATTACTATGATAAAGAAGAACTGCAAGTTCTTCAGGATTCCAACGATAAAAATAAATCGTTATCAAAATTTTATGTTTGCATGAACTGCGTATTCGCCGAATGGATTCGAAAAAAATTATATGAATTCGTTCAAGAATTTCCATTGTTATATCAATCGAAATTTATGGACGAATATGACACATACAAATCTGATTTTAACAAATCACTTGCAGTTTTAAACGGAATTATGAAACAAACAGTACGGTTCATAAATATACTGTTCAATTTTTTGAATATAGTAACTTACAGTGCATTTATGGATATAGATTTGTTAAAAACATTGTTGTCGTTCAGTTTTAAAATCAACTATATAAATAATCTTCAATATCAATATGAGTACGACGAAAGATTAAAAGCCGAAAAAACAGATCATGTTGTAATTCCTAAAATTCTCCAAGTCATAAACGATATTCAAAAATGTATTTTATTTAATTGTGACATTACATCTGATTATGCAAATAAACAATTTTATGGCTATTGGACGACCGACAGTGAAGCAACCGAAAATGGCATAAACGAATTCCTTCGGGAAATAAAGCCAATGAATTTAGAAACAGTACGTGAGTATTGCAGTACGAAACAAATGTTATTGGGCAATATACTAGTAGAAATTGAAGAGACTAACACTGTAGCAAAGGATTTACAAAATGTGGTTTTCCAAATTAAATGTGAAAACGTTTTATCAAGAATGAATGCTCAAAAATTCTTCGAAAAAATTCAATTTTCTGATAATCTGGAAGTGATATTCTGGTATATGAAATCGGTTTACGTTGCAATCGTACAATTAATAAGCAAAAAAACGTTCCCAATAGTAGACAATTTAATAAAAAAACAAGGCCGAAATAATGTCGTAAATTTGAGTATAGATTTGTTTGAAGGATTTAAAACAATGCATTTTTTCTTTTCAATTTATTCGGATCTGCCGTTAGATTTAATTGAAAGTTTTAAAAGTTTAGGTGAAAAAAAGCTCATTGAAATTCATACACTAAAGAATGTACGGGATCATTTAAAAACGTATAACTCTAAAGAAATGGATAACTCGAATTTCATCCTAAATCTTCCAGATGTTGAAATTATAATAGCACATTCTTTAGTCACACCATTGGAAAATTTTATGAACTCAATGATTAATAAAATTTCTGATTACAAATGTTTTGTTAATTTACTAGAATTTCTATACGTAGAATACGGTAGATATTACACGCCTCACATGAAAAACGTCAAAAAAGTGTTCACCTTCATGGAAGTAGAACTATGCAAAAATAGTGCACGAGAGCAATACAAACCCCTATATAAGTTGTATGAGTATTTTAACGTTGAAAATAGTAAACCGAGTATGTCCACATCCGTGTATCTTGCTAATAATTATGATTCTGCAGTCAAAAACAGCTGTGACTTGGTTGTAAAATTGTATCAGTATTGTTTTGAGACATTTATAATTCTTAACAATAGTCAACGTAAATATAAACTTAACGGTGAAATCGATTTTGACGAAGTCAAAGAAAATCTCAACTCTATCATGCAATTTTTATCAAATTCAACTATTAAGTTTGAAAATACCCCCCTTAATAGTATTACATTTAATTTGGTTCCGTTGATGCCATTTATAGCGGTCCGCCTTTACAATGAAGGTAATTATCCTGAAATAAAAAGGTTGATGTATGTGATCATGTCTGAACTAAATACGTACGGAATAGACTACTGTGTCCCGCCAAGTAATAACTATTTGCTATTTAACAATATTGATTTGAATATAACCGGTAAACATAACACATATTTTATGGAATGGCAAAAGTGCATCAACTTAATAAGCATGAAAAAGAATTTCCCTAACTATTCAGATTTGATTAAAATATTTATGGACCAATACAATAATTTTATCGTTTTCTACGATCTAATTGTATTGTTTAAGTGGAAAGGCGAATTAAAACCTTTTACCGAAATTCTCTGGGACATAAGTAATACAATTACTACTCCAATTTATAGAAACGCATTATACGATCTTTATTTTAAATTAGTTCTCGCTGTTATATATTACGAATCGCAATCGTTTATGAAAAACTTAAAGACAGATAAAAATAAATTGAATGAACAAGTTATTGAATCTTATGATGACTATTTTTATTCAAAATTACAACCGTTGAGCAATGTTTTTCCTCCATATTTTAGAAATTTTGTTTCGAATTACTATTCATATATGGTATTATACTATTCATTTATAAAAATGACAGAAGATCAGAATCCTACCAAAATGTATCGTTATAATGAAAAAAAATTAATTGATGAATTAATAATATTTGGCGTTCAATTAGATATCAATGCATCTAAACAGTCTCTTGCTGAAATCCCTGGAGTTCCGAAAACAAAATTTAGATTGCCGTGGTCTAAAACGGATACTTTAAAGGATAGATTAGAGACGTTTATAAATACCGTGGATGATTTATTAACAACAGTTGAAGCAGTTAAAAATATATTTAATTTGTATGAATCATATTACACAAATATACCGGTATATTAATTTTAATGACGGTAAAAGTATACATATTGCAAAGGAAAACTTTATACACTCGAATAATGTTCACTGTCTACTGTGCAAACGGTACGCGTTAATAAACATTATCGTAAACCTTCTAACTAAACGAACTGTTTCTTTATCAATAAATTTCTTTAATTTTTAAATTTCGTTATTTTTTGTGTAAAACGACGATCTTACAAAGTAAAAGTACAAAATAAAACAGAAACAGATAAGTATAATCGAATGGGTACCTATTCTTCTTCTTTTCCTTCGTCACCATTTCAGCTATTTTGGGTCAGTCAGCTTTGTCTTAAATTTCTACTTGACGCAATTTCCCACCTCTCATATACTGGCTGTCCTTGAGGGGAATTAAAAAAATTATTTTTAATAAAAGTAATTCGATTTTATACTATTTCATTGAAAATTGTCAGAGTGACAATATTAAATGCAATGAAGGAGGCTTTAAACTAAAATGGACTGATAATATTAGATTAATTTAGTAGGACTCCATCTTTCCTCTATCGCTTTCAATTTAACTTCTGGCTGTTATTCGTATCCGGAACAGCGGGCACCGGGCTATCTTATTGTATCGAATTTTCACAGTTGTGTTTACTTAAAAATGATTTTCATCTGAAATTTCAGTGATGGGGGTTGCTTAAGCCAAAAAGTCCACTACAAAGCTACAATACTGAAATAGGTAATCGTTCGGCCGTTCATCTCAATTTTTATATGGCCTAGCTAAAAATACATACCAATAAAGAAACACCTATTTTGGTTTTTAGAAATAAAAATACGTTACATATGTTACATCATACTATATTATATAGACACTTTTCAATATTAATATAAGTTTAACTCATACATTTTGTTTATTTTTTTAGATAATTGTTTTTCATGTGTATTATTATTTTTAAGTAAAAAATTATTTATACAAAGTTATTATTTATATTTGTAATGTATATATTATATTTTATAATTATTTATAGGTAGAAATTCAAATGTTTGAATATTATGTGTATAACGTTTTGTATAAGTATCTAAATTGATATCAAATTTCAATCTTAATTAGTATCATAGGTTACATATCTATACTTAAATTTTTAACTTAGTTACACACAACAATATTTATTATAAATAATTAAATATTATTGATACAGGTAGACATAAAGTATAAATGTTATAAGAATTGTATTTTTCAATCAATAAACAAATTCCCTATTCAAAATCATGGTATTATGAAATTGTAATAAGATTTTTTAAGCATTTGTTAATTATTGATTGTGAATCAATATATTTACGTGACAATGCCACATATTGTATGAACAATTTTCGTCTTGTTAGTTAATAACAAAATATAATTATTTTAAATAATTTGAACATAGATATAGACAACACATTTCGATTTTGGGTTCAAAAATTTGAATAATATTTTTAAATAAATTATAAAAAAAAATAAATAAAAATGGGTGTTGTCGTAAATAAAAGAAAATCACGTATGAAAGCAGAGCCAAGAACAAGTTCGTAAAATTTTTTTTAAGTAGTTGGTGATTTGTATTATCTATTTGGTAAGTTTGCCCGAATATTTTAAAACTGCTTTGATACCACTGACTACAACTATAAATACTGTAACCGTAAATTTATAAATATATTATATGTAATCGAAATAATAGAAGGAATTCAGGATATTTTAACAGGGAGGAAACATGATCCACCCTTCATTTTATTGCTAAATTTTATGCTACCGAGACGACAGTTGAATCGTAACGTGTATTACTACGCCACTTAGTACTTACCTGCTATAAGGGAATAATACCTACTAAAAAACTTACCTTTTATTATTATCACAGAAGAAAAAGTAATTGTATAGGTGTTCACTCGCGGTGTTTATTCATGTTTTATAATATATATATATGTATGTAGTGTATTTTTTAATAATGTCGCAACTTTATGTAATTGTTATCAATTAGTTTTATCTAAGAAATATTACTTTTTTCCCATAGTTTATCATACTTGAATAGATTAATTGGATATTTGAAATAACTTCACTTGTTATGTGTCGAGTACAACAACCAAGAGTGAACTATTGAAAACTGTTTGAAATACATTTCATTAAATTTAATGAGTATTGTTAAGTAGAACAATATTTTTTTCTCATTATTATATGATATTTACATAGTTGTTATTTAGTAAATTTTATCATTTTGTCAATTTTATTACTTTTAAGATCGAAATTAGTACGATTATGATACGAATAATAAATATTATTATTAAATATTTAAATTTTATTCAACTTGTATTCATCTAAAAGAAGTTCAATATAGGCACTTATATATAAAATAATTTACATAAATTAAATTTATTTATTTTCTCTTTTTTTTATTTTTATATATATATTTTCACCGTGGACATAATTTCTAACTCCGGGAACTTTTTTTCGGGCATTTTTATAGAACCCCGACAATATTAGTCGGAAGCCCGAAAAATCTAAAGAAAAACGAAGAAAAATTAAATATTAGTTAATACACTTCAACTAACTAGAAATATTTTATCTCGAAATGCCATATTTTAATGTTAAATATTGTGATTATATCATATTAAGGATATTTATGGTTATGGAGATTATTATTAAGTTGATCACGGTTGTAAAATCAACACAAAGTTAACAATGATTAAATTCCTCGGTATCACGATTAAATAAATCGCTTTTAGAATGCTTTCGGTGAAATCGATCCTTATAAATTATCAAAAATTGTGTATTGTGACTAGTGGTAAAATATTTTGTATTATGTCAAAAATAATGCCAACAAATATACATGATATTTCAAATAGAAAAATTTAATAAATCGATAATGATTATTCATTAACACTACATATTCGGTACTATAGCCAGGATCGCCTCCTTTTTAATTCAAAAAAAAAAGAGCTGATACTGGGGATGGAAGCGGCCACTGTTGTAGGTGAGAAGTTGTGAGGGTAGGATACGTAAGATTATTTCATTCATATCTGTAAACAACGATAAACCATTGTTTGACGAAAGTCGATTCCCAGCCGAGTTTGGTAATACTTAATTTGGAATGTCGTATTTTTTTTTTTTGCGATTTGCGTTTAAATTTTTGATTTAAAATTGATTTTAAAGCGTTTATTGAAAAAAAAAAATCGTCTGATGATTTTGGAAATTTCACCACATCTAGGTAAGTTCAATATAAGTATTATTACCAAGTTTCAAGTCTCTACTTGTATTTATAACCGAATTACAGCACAAAAACTCCTAAAAATTAAAATTTCTTAAAAGCTCAAAAATGCCTCAAAAATGTTGGCGATGATACCATAAGAAAGTAAATCAAAAAGACAACAAAATAGGTATCTTGATTTTTCGCGATTAAATCATTTTTTCTGGCAGAAAACATCGTCAGTGTTGTTATAAAATAATGAAATCATGAAATTATACGTTTTCCTACGTTTTTTCCCACTTTCCCCCTTAAGTGTTTTTATTTAAAAAATGGCGTCGAAAAAAAAATGACTTCTTTAAAGTATCATTTAGACAACTTGAGCTTTCAGAAAAGTTGATACACATAAAAATCGGAGCAAGTTTTTTACTAAGAAAAAACATGTCCACAGACAAAAACAAAGAAAAAGATAGAAATCTTAGGATAACCACTTGTTTCCTAGCTACGGTCGGAGTCTAAAATATTATACCAATACAAATTCCATAATGCCATTATTTCGAATAGGAATTTCGTTTTATTGATCGAAAAATACAACACTTAAAATATTTATACTTTATACTATACATGTATCAATAATAATATTTAGTTTGATTTCATAATTAATAGATTTGGTAATAGTTAAGTGCGAAAATTTAAACATAAAATAATAATTAAGTATGAAATTTAATCTCAATTTAAAATTTAAATACTTGTATTTATACTTATATATACGTTATATTATAATATTCTAACATTTGAATAACTACATAAAAAAAGTTGTACGATTCGTGTAAATCAATTTTGTACAAATCACATAATTTGTACATTATTCACTTAAAAATAATAATAAATAGAAAACAATATTGAATAATTAAAAAATGTGTAATTTAATTACCGCTATTACAACTGAGTAGGTACAAACAAATTATTTAAAAGAAAAAAATACTATCGCACATTTCTACTTGTAACTGTAACACAGCGAGATCATGAGAGTGCGGTGTGCATTGTGTACATTTAAAAATATTTATCTGAAAAATGTTCGAAATAGATATTAATTCGTTGGAATTTTTGTTAGTTTGGTGGAAAGCTATGAATAATAATTATCGTGTCATTTTACACGACAAACATCGACGTTTGAAAATTAAAACGATTTAATGATATACAAACAGTTAATTAACCTCGTCGGTTTATGTTTTCGGTCCCAGGTTTCAGAGGAATAATTAATACGTTATTAAGTTTTAGGTCAGTATATTAGTATAGGTATAAGTTATAAAGTTAATAATATTCGAGTCTTATTTTGCCTTACACCTTTTTACCGTCAGTAAAATTAATAATCCGGTATATTTTTATAATACGATTCATACACATCAAATAGCATTTTAACCTCCTTTACAGTTAATAATAACTCATCTACTATTTCCACAAACTCGTCTAATTTCTCCGAAAAAATCGTCGATGTAAGCCATTGAAAAATATTTTTGTTTTTCGATTTGTCAATGGGTAAAACAGATGCCTGTTTCCGTGACTTGATATCCAATTCAACGCCATATATTCTGAATAGATCATATAAATTACTTTCATTATCGATATACATTTTTTCAGATTTGCAATTGTCTGGCGCTGTAATACATGAATAGTATGAGATCATATATAAACTGTAGTTTGATATAAACTCGTTAAAATATGGAGGAAAATCACTCTCGGGTGGTAATTTGGCAATAACATATTTTCCATAAGTCATTTCTTCTACATTAATATTACGTTTATCTGCATCTAAATGTTTCATTAGACATTGTGCTTCATAAAACATAACGACAAGAGTAAATTTAAAATAAAGATCGTATAACGCGTTTACATAAATCGAAGAAGTAATCGCATTATTAATATTCAAAAAAATATATGTAAGAGGTTTTAATTCGCCTTTCCATTTAAACAATACGATTTGGTCGTACACAAGGATAAAAGGGTATTGGTCGGAATATATTTTGCTCAAATCCGAATAACTAGGAAGTTCCTTTTTCACGCTTAGTGAGTCGATATACTTTTGCCATTCAACGAAATATGTGTTGTGTTTACCAATTCTATCCAAATCGATATTGTTAAATAACAAATAATTATTACTTGGCGGAACGCAGTAATCTATTCCATACGTATTTAGTTCAGACATGATCACATGCACTAGCCGTTTTAGTTCAGAATAAATCCGTTTGTCGTAAAGCTGGACTCCTACGAACGGTATTAACGGAATCAAATTAAATGTGATTCTATTAAGGGAAGTATTTTCATATTTAATTGTTGAATCTGTCAAATAATTTATGATAGAGTTGATATTTTCCTTGACTTCGTTGAAATCTATGTCATTTGTGTTTGTATATTTAAATTGAATATCGTTAAGAACTATAAATGTCTCGAAACAATACTGATACAATTTGACAACCAAGTCACAGCCGTTTTTGACGGCAGAATCATAATTATTAGCAAGATACACGGATGTGGACATACTCGGTTTACTACTTTCAGTGTTAAAATACTCATATAAATTATTCAGAGGTTTGTATTGCTCACGTGCACCATTTCCGCATAGATTTACTTCCATGAACGTGAACACTTTTTTGACGTTCTTCATGTAAGGCGTGTAATACCTACTGTATTCTACGTATAGGAATTCTAGTAAATTAACGAAACATTTGTAATCATCAATTTTATTAATCATTGAATTCATAAAATCTTCCAGTGATCTATCTAAAGAATGACGTACACTTATTTTAACTTTTGGATAATATAGCTCCGATTTCTTGTATTTCAGTTTATTTGTGTTATACATTCGTAAATTTTTCATTAATTTTTGTAGGCTCTCATCATCAATTATCCTGTTTTTAATTAATCTTCTGAAACTATCAATCAACTCCAAAGGCAAATCCGAATAAATTGAAAAGAAAAAATGTATTGTATCGAACCATGTAAAAAAATCTCCATTCAATTTTATGACATTTTCTTTTTTTTTTCTGTTTAGTAAAATATCTTCTAATGCTAGGAGCGTTTTCTTACTTATTAATTTTACGATTGCGATGTAAACCGATTTCATATACCAGAATATCACTTCCAGATTATCAGAAAATTTAATTTTTTCGAAGAATGCTTGAGTATTTATGGATACATTGTTTTCACATTCACATTCGAAGTACACCATTTCTAGATCCTTAGTTACACAGTTAGTATCTACACTATCTACAAGTATATTGCCCAATAACATTTGTTTCGTACTGCAATACTCACGTACTGTTTCTAAATTCATTGGCTTTATTTCCCGAAGGAATTCGTTTATGTCATTTTCGGTTGCTTCACTGTCGGTCGTCCAATAGCCATAAAATTGTTTATTTGCATAATCAGATGTAATGTCACANCTTTTAATCTTTCGTCGTACTCATATTGATATTGAAGATTATTTATATAGTTGATTTTAAAACTGAACGACAACAATGTTTTTAACAAATCTATATCCATAAACGCACTGTAAGTTACTATATTCAAAAAATTGAACAGTATATTTATGAACCGTACTGTTTGTTCCATAATTCCGTTTAAAACCGCAAGTGATTTCTTAAAATCAGATTTGTATGCATCATACTCGTCCATAAGTTTTGATTGATATAACAATGGAAATCCTTTAACAAATTTAAACAATTTATTTTGAATCCATTCGGCAAATATACAGTTCATGCAAACATAAAATTTCGATAACGATTTGTTTTTATCCTCCGATTCCGGTGTCTTTGCGTACTCACTGTCATAGTAATATATCTGACATGATACACTTTTAAATTGTACAGCAAATAAATTATTATTTATCTTTTTACGTCCTGTCATGTTATGAGCTCTTTCTTGTAACAATTCAACGCGTTTGTCTTTAGTATTTAACCATAAATTTGAAGAATTTCCAAACTGTATTATTTCTAGACACAAAAATATAAATAGAACGTTAACTTGACGCATTGTTATAATTGTATTTATTTTTACTTAAAAAATATGTATTTTAGATTTGACTTGTATAACTCTAACAGATTTCACATCAAATTCGTTATTAAGTATAATAATTTTGCTTTTTACTTTGTGAGTAACAAAGAAACGTGTTTAAAGAGGTGTATCTACTTATACCAGATAAAATAAACATTATGTTTAACGAAACACAAACATTTTATTTAAAAGCATTTGGTGCTTATGCAATATTAAAGGTTTTTGAGTTGAATTTTATATGTTTAAGAAAACTTATTACTATGCATACATTTTATCCAATTTTCAGATTCGGAGCGTAGCGATGAGTTTTCTTTAGTTTATTATTATTTATTTTTTCTGCCTGTAAACGACTTTTCAAAAAAATCTTGCTCCAATATACAAAGTGTAGCACCTTTACTAAAAATTCATTGTCTCTATTTGGTTCATAGAGGTCATTTTTTGATTTTACAAGAGTTTTTTGAAATACTAGGGAAAACTCCAAAAAACAATTATTTGTAAAACGACATGTATTTACAACGCACCACTGTGTTACCATTTTCATTGTTTTTAATTTTTGTTCATGATGTTTTCTGTCAAAAATATTTCTCTAATCGAAAAATGACAAGGGATCGATTTTATTCATTTTAATATAAAGCCACTGATAAAATCTGTTATTATTTGATATCTAAAGTACTAGTTTTCATAACAATTGAAAAACACCAAAAAAAAAAAAAACGATAATTACTATTTATTTCAAATTATGACACAACAATTTCGTTAATTAAAATTAATATAGCTTATGTTTTGTCCCATAAATATTACTCCAATAGAAAAGCAATAACGCTCCTTTTTTGTTGTATTTGTAAACTAATCGTAGAAAGTACTTTTACAATTTTCATTGTTGTTTTTTTTTATATAAATGAACAAAACTAAAAAATAAGTAGAAAGTACAGGACTATTTACATAAATAATTTATTTATTATTTAAAATTGTATTTTTTTGATGTGATTCAGTTAAAAATATTTATAGAAACTTGACATTTTGACAGAAAACCCTTATTTACTTTTTCAATACATTGTAAAATTTCTATACGTGGATTTTTGAGGTATTTATAGGTATTCTAATTTCGCGAGTGCCTTTTATTTATTTAATAAGTGCTCGGTGGGTAAAATTGTTAGATTAAACAAAAATGCTTGAAAATTTAATGAGTGGTTCATTATAAGTCGTACTTTTTGGTCAAAAAGAATTAAGTGTAATATATTTTTTATTTATAAGATATATTATCAAGTTATAATGAAAATCGTAAATATTAGGGTCTTTCAAAACATGTGTAACCGAACTTCTCTCCTAATCGTTTTTCGTTAGTAATGGTATAAAATGAATAACTTTACGTATTCCACCTTCCCGGCTACCCACCTTTAACAGTGACCGCGCCCATTTCAGTATCAGCTGTTTTCTTATGTGAGCACTTTTTCTATCAAAAATCTTGCTCCGATGTGCCATGTGAAACACCTTTTTTGATTTTCCAAGGAGTTTCAAAATAATTGAGTTGATAACATTTATGTTGATAACGTCTTAATCGGGTATGATAAACATGATTTTTGTTTACAAATTCTGTGTTTGTACGACATATCGGTGTTGTGCAATCCAATGCGTACGTTTTGATCATTTGAATGTCAATACTAATGTAGACTTTTTTTACCGGTGTGTTTCCTTAGTTAAGGATAATAATAAGAGAATTTGAAAAAAAAAAAAAAATGTTAAACAGAGTATTGAAAATACTTAACCTACGAATGAGCCGTAACCGGTATTTAAGCCGCACAAATGAACCGGGCATTTTTACAAGTGATCCCGGCAGTGGGGTCGCGCGCCAAAATAATTTTCCTCGTTACCAGAGTATCCACTACACCTCCCGCGCAACATATCACGCACGGCGGCCGTCCGGTTTGCCTATATGTCGTATTAAACACGACACACGAACGAATCGTTTGGTTACAGTTATTTAAAAGAAAACAAAAATGATATTATTTACAACACCGTGTTCCGGAAACCTACATTGTAACATAGTCCACGTGTCGTGCACGCCAGCGGTCTGTCAACGTTCGGAAGGATATCAAGCGGTCAGTATCGGATCGTATAAATTATAATAACAACAATAACATGCGTCGTGTCATCGGCCTGATTCGCAATCATTCCAACTCCAAAAGTGCGATTTTTAGTTTGTTACGTTTTATTTAAAAACGAACGCGTCGTCGAAGAACGTTCCCGCGGTATTATAGGACAATTTTATTATTTTTTCCGTGAAAACAGCCGATTAGTGTGCACGTATACTTTAAAATACAATGAATTAGTTTTTTTTTTTTTTTTTAATCTCCCCGGAAAAGTAGTCGATACGGAGCTACAGCAATATTGCGAATTAGGCCGACGACGCATACTGCATAGGCGTATAGATACAGTGATGCTTTGAAACACAACGTTTAAATATATCGTTACGAGTTTCTTTTGGATTCGTTTATTTTGAAACGATTTTTTTTTTCTTTTCTTTTTTTTTGTTTATCGAAATACAATACAACATAACAATGCAATTAAATATTTCGAATAGCTCTTATTCGTGTTCCCAGCTAACAATTTAATATTAAAATACGATATTTTGTGAAACACCAATATAGCATTGATACTAACTACACGGCCGAGGTTTATTTTTTCACGAAAGTGATCCGTGATTTACTTCGCACGGCGTCACGAGTTCCGTATATGGAAATACAACAATATCTTCATCTTTTTTTCGCCGCTCATCGACAAAAGGCTCATAGCATCCCATATCAGTAATCGCAGAACAAATATGAATATCTGTATTATTTCTGACAATTCACTAATTTTACTTATTCAAAAAAAATCTAACTACTAAGGAGTTAACACTATATTTTATTGGAGTAAACACTTTATTTTTTAGAAGTTAACACTATGTCAATGTTGGAAATTACCAACATTTGTAGGAGTTTGCCGTCCCCCGATTTTCCGTCCGTTTCGAGAGCTTCCACGACGGCCGTTAAACCCGTACACATATAATATTACACTACAACATACATATTAGAATAATGATAATAATAATATCCGATTTTATAATCACGCAGCTTAAATAGATTAAAAAAAAAAAAACGCGATAAAATTCGTATACCCATCACTCGTAGGCGTACGAGTACGCCTCTATAAATAATATTATAGTTTTTTATTTTTTTCTCTACATCGTCGTCGTCGTCGTCGTACAGGCATAACAACAGCGGAATATACGTACGCGTGTAACTCGATCCGAGATCTGGATCGATAAACCGTAAAAAAAAAAAAAAAAAATTTGAATGAAACGAAACGCGTACGATAAATTAAAAAAAACAATATTATGCATCGAATTCGTTACGACCGTCGCGCCGTTTGGGTGACACGATATAACATAAAGGCGTAATACTATATTATTATAAAGTATCCGCCTCTCGTTAATTATACTACGTCCTCTCTGACGCATGTTTTCTATACGTGAAGAAATTATATTTATTTTTTATTTTTTTTTTGTTGTTGTGTTGCGCTTCGTTATCGTCGTCTGTGCAACGGGTTCAACGGCAACGACAACGACGGAAACTCGGAGCGCGCAATACGAATTTTCGGTTCGCGGTCGACGAGTCGAAAACGTTTTCGGGCAACATCGCGCGACTCGGACGACGATTTTTTCGACGTTTTCATTTTCTTCCATACAGACCTGGCTGTTAACTACAACGCACCGCGCATTGAACGAAAATTGGTCGGACAACATCCGACGAATAAAAAATGCGTGGGTAATAATCTGAATATAAAAAAAGAAATGTTTCTGATTTTTTTTTTCCTATGAAAACTCGTTTGATTTTTCATAAACAATACCACGGATAATATTATGATTAAAGATTCCTTCGTATTTCATTGTGTCGCGTTAAAACGTTCGACGTTTCGTTCGGCTGATGGGCGTTTGGTTTTCCTAACATCATTAACAGTGTTATCAAAATGCTATCTATTATAGTTGGAAATAATTTGCCTCGGTGGAAAAAAAACATATAAATATTTGTTCTACTGTGAAAAAAACCGCATGTTTTCCGCATATAATATTATCATAGGCTACCCATCAAAAAAATAAATGTCTTTCAATCTTTTTGATTTTAAATTTTCATGATTTATAAAAAAAAAAAAAAAAATATTTCGCTAATCAAGCTACCCGAAAAAAAAACAGCTGTTCTTCCAAAATATTCTCATAATTAATTAAAAAATAAATGATTTGAAAGTCTGAAACCTTGCGTTCCAGAGGATTCTAATTCAAGATTTTGGATAACAATTTACGAGTTTCCTACTCGCTAACAACTTAAATAATAAACTTTAATGTAAAATAAATAACTAAATAATCAATAAAAGAAAAAACAACATGTATTTATTACTATCTCTGTGTTTTATTTTTAAATGCATTTAAAATGCTTAAGTGCAGAAAGGGAACATGTCCAACGATTTAAAATAGCTGCGTTCATGTTAATTTTTAGAAAAAAATCATCAATCATGTCGACGATTGATACTTAAAAAAGTGGATAATAACGTGATTTATTCACTTTTACAGCTTCTTCTCAGTGTTGCTAAGACAGTTTGTTGTGCCTTCTGTACTATTTGATTTTAGGGACATGTCTCCTTTCTGAAATTAGTTATTCACATATTCTCTTAAAAGATTACACGTTTATGTTATACGTTGTAAAACTAAGGGAGTATATATAATAAATTATAAGGGAATTAGAGGGTCATAAAACAACAAATGATAAGTATTTTAGCTTATCAAAAAACAGATAAAAACAAATTAAGTACCCTAACCCCCACCCTCCATCACCGAAATTAGATTAAAGAACATATAGTTTTTACTAAAAAATTGTAAACTACAATATTATTGATTTTGTATAAGAACAATGTCATACAATTTTTGTTTTTAGTTTTTTTTTTTT